CAAAAACTAATAAATGAGAAATGGGCAATGTCATTGAAAGCCACAGCTTTTACTCCAAATTTTCTATCTCCAGATCTTTATATCAAACTGCCAACTGGATATCTTCACCTGTGTGTCCCAAGAACTCCTAAGACTCAACATTTCCAAAGTTGAATTTATTGTTATCCCTCTAAACTTGGTCTTCAAAAAATATATTCCCTATTTTCTTTGGTAATGCCCCCAATTTACTCGTTCTAATATTTATAGCTTTCCAATATTGATTTATCCATTCACCCAAGCTATAAAATGGAGATTCATCTTAGAAGTTCTCTTATCCACTCCACAACTACTAGGTCACTTAGGGTATCAGTTAACCTCTGTTATGGAAACAAACTGCTCCAAATCTGGAGGCTTAAAACAAAATATTATTTCCTGTGATTCTGTGGGTTGACTGGCTGATTCTTCTGGTCTGAACTAACTCAGCTGGGGCTGGATGGTCTAGGATGGCCTCACATATGTGTTAGGGGCCTCAACTGGGAAGACTGAGGTGGTTAGGACACCTGGGGCCTCTCTCCAAGTGGTCCCTCATCTTCTAGGAGGCTAGCCCTGATTTGATTCCATAGTGGCAGAACGGCTGCCAGCAATAAAAGGGCAAGGCCCAGAATACAAACATTTTTCAAGCCTCTGCTAAATTACAATTACTATTATCCCAATGGCCAAAGCAAGTCACATGAATTTAGTCAGTTTGGGAGCAGACTACCAAAGGGTATGGATACAGGTAGGTGTGAAAAATTGGCTTGAGAAGGGGGGGCATAACTGCAACAATCTACCACACTTAATCCTATTGATTCTGTCTCCTTATAACCTCTGAATCTCATTCTTCCTCTTGAATCCCACTTCACTGAGGAGTTTGAGAACTTCTCATTTCCTACCTCAACTACTTGTAATACAGTCATGTGCTGCATAACATTTCCATCAATGATGGACCGCATATATGATGGTGGTCCTATAAGATTAGTACCATATAGCCTAGGTGTGCAGTAGGCAATACCATCTAGGTTTGTGTAGGTATACTCTATGATGTTCACACAATGAAAAAATCACCTAATGACGAATTTCTCAGAACATATTCCCATGTTAAGTGATGCATGACTGTAGTCTCCTAATTGACCTTGCACTGCTGTAAGCTATTAGCACACGAATTTTCTGGATATACAAATCTGGTCACATAACTCTGCTGCTTAAAACTCAATAGCTTCCCTTTGGCTATTAGAATAAACTATTAGGTTCCTAAATAAGATCCATTTCTTGGGACTGGCGCCATGGCCTAGTGGTTAAGTTTGGACCTGCACCACTCATCAGCCACCATGCTGTGGCAGCGACCCACATACAAAAAAACAGAGGAAGACTGGCACAGATGTTAGCTCAGGGTGAATCTTCCACAGCAAAAAAAAAAAAAAAAATCCATTTCTTTTTCGTTTCTAGCTCCTAATTATTCTTACTCCTACTGTTCCCTCATATGCACTCTACTCTTTCAGAAACAAAAAACTAAGTCCTTCAAAGGACCATGGTATTTCAATACTACAACTTTCCACTTAATGTTGTTTCTATCTGGAATGTACTACTACTGCTTGTGTCCTGGCAAATTTCAACTTATTCTTCAAGATTCACCTCAAATGCCACAAATTTGATGAAGCATTTCTTGCCTGACAAAGTTAAATGCTCCCACTTCTTGCTTCCATTGCATCTCATACAACCTTCAATTATAGTGTTTATTCCAACATACCATAATTATTTTTTTGGAGACCTGTCTAACCACTTATTTCACTGTGGGATGGGGATTCTGTCTCTCTTAATGTCTATCTCTCCAACATCTAATACCCTGACACTTAGTAAATACTCGGCAAATGCTTTTTGAATCAATCAATTAAAATGTTCATTTCCAACATTCTAGATGCCACTAGAAAGAAAATTGATCGGATAAGTCTGTCACTGTCAAATCTTGTCATCAACTCAGTACTCTTCTTCAAATGTTACTTTTCTGTCAAGTTATTTGAGTGGAATGCAGTTCCAAGTGTACTAATAAACTTTCAATATGCACCAATATTCCTTCAATTTATGTTATGAATATGTTAAAATGAGAATTTAAACATTACATTCAAGGTGTATAAACGTATTAAATTTACAAATGTACTAAAATTATCAATGTACTAAAACATACTGATAGGGCCGGCCCCGTGGCTTAGCGGTTAAGTACGCGCACTCCACTGCTGACGGCCCGGGGTTCGGATCCCAGACGCGCACCGACACACCGCTTCTCTGGCCATGCTGAGGCTGCCTCCCACATACAGCAACTAGAAGGATGTGCAGCTATGACATA